GGCAGCAGTGCATAAGCTTGTACCAGAATGTCCCTCCGGTTTTCCCAGACTAGGTGAATGATTGGAAAGGCTGTTCAACGATTCTTTTTGCCCGAACTTTCTTGTATGTAGACTTCCTGGTCTTCTTTTTCATGGGGGTATTTATTATATTTGGTGTAATGAAAATGAGTCTTCATCAATTTGATTTATTGTGGTTCCTTTAGTATATTCGAAAAATCAGCGAGGCCGATATACAAACGATAAAACCACTCAAATTCTCCTTTTTTAAAGTGTTCCTTGAGGTGTAACGCGTTTGTGCACCAAAGACGAGCACCGGCATGTGATCGTTCTACACCACTAATAGCTTAGCTAAGCTGATGTACCTTATGATTACTTATACTTATAGCTCAATTCTCCTACATATAAGATGCACGTTCTTAAGATCGAGTTCATCTTTCTGATCTCCCCGTGGCACCATCCCCACAATGCATCTCTCTCTGCTGGCATTGACAGCTCTAAACTTTGCTCTTACAGCCAAGTCCTGTAGTGACGAGCATGCTCATGACCACAGCCATGCGCACCAGAAAAGACTATTTCCTCAAACACAGTTGACGAAGCCTACAAGGCCTTTAGAATGGGGTGACTTAAATATCATCCATACGACAGATACTCATGGCAAGTACGAGCTTGGCGTTTGTGATTGTCAATAAGTTATACCTTCATCATTGCAGGCTGGCTTCTCGGACACCAACACGCTTCTTTCCCGGAGCCCAATTACAGTGGAGACCTTGGTGACTTCGCCAGCTTCGTGCAACATATGAAGCAACTTGCCATTGTGAGTGTCAAAATCCTGGTACGCTAGAAATGGAGTGTATGTACATAGCGATACCCATAGGAAAAAGACGTTGATTTGCTCCTGGTTGACTCGGGTGACCTTCATGATGGAACAGGCCTGTCTGATGGATTTCCAGCGGGAGGAATCGACGCTCATGATGTGAGTACTTGCATCACACGACCCGATTCAGTGGGACAGAACGTATGTTGCGACACTTCTAGGCCAATGAATTCATCAAACAGCTTCCATACGACATCATGGCTATAGGAAAGTGCGTAGCGCTTTCCAGCTCCCGTAATGCGTGCAGGCTGTAGTACTCGTATCTTACACCAACCTTTCAGCCACGAACTCTACGACTACATCAATACTTGGGACATGTATACCAATTTCGTGCCAGCGTTAGGCGGCAAGTATCTCTCCTCCAACGTCAACATCACTGTGTTTGACGTTAACAAGAACACTATTGACGTTCCTGTTGGAAATCGATTCCGTAAATTTACTACAAGAAAAGGAAGAAAGATCACGTCTTTGGGTGTGCTGTATGATTTTACAGGCAATGATGTGAATACAACGGTGCAAAGTGTAGCGGATATGGTGAAGGAACAGTGGGTCAGTAACTGGAGTCGAGTTCTATGCACAAAGCTTGCACATACATTTCCAGTTCGCGGATGCGATTGCCGAAGAACCTGATCTATTCTTGTTGGTCGGGTATGTTGATCTTGCATGAATGCCCTTGATAAACTACATGTCTCATGCTGGAACAGACATATGCCTGTCTCACGCGACAACTGGCCCACTGTCTTTAATGCTGTACGCGCCGTCCATGCCCAGACACCCATCATCATTCTGGGAGGACATAGTCATATCCGCGATTGCAGTATGTCCAACCGATCGTTTTCATTTCCTTTGCGGTACTGATGTTCTCCTCTCCTGTAGACCAACCTGACGGTCGCTCGATGGCTTTAGAGAGCGGGCGATACATGGAAACAATTGGGTGGCTGAGCGCGAACCTTGGTATTCGCTCCGATGTGGATTCGAAGAACAACATTTCATTCAACAGGAGGTATCTGGATCAGAATCGGGTCACTTACGAAGTCAGTGAACGATTTGCAGTTCCAGGTTGCTTTGAATTCTAACTTCGTTCATCGAATAGTATCATTCCCAGCAGAATAACCACTCCTTTGATACAGCCCAAGGTCAGAGTATCACGCAAGGACTGTTGAACCTCGCGAAAAAGTACGATCTTTCAATGCTGTTTGGAACTGCGCCCCAGGACTACACCATTTCTCGGTACGTTTCCCCGTTTCTCTCCTACCTCCTTTTGAGCATCTTATCACATCTACTAGTAACCCATATCCATCTAATGGGTCCTCCCTCACCCTTTTCATCAACGAAGCCGCACCCTATTCTCTCACTCTTAACAACACTCGCGCCAACATTTCCAACATCATGATAACCAATTCTGGATCGCAGCGTTTCGACATCTACTCTGGGACATTCGATAAAAACGATCAAATATCTGCTAGCCCCTTTACCGACGCGTTCATGTTCATCAAGGACTTACCACTCGGTGTGGCGCAGGAGGTGTTGCCTGCGCTGAATACGGCTGGGGCTGACGAGAGACGGAGAAGGGACTTGAGCGAGATTTTGCACGTGCGAGAGAGGGAGATGGAGAAGAGAGGATATATCGATAGACGGTATATGGAATGGTTGGACGAGATGGATAGGAGGCATGATGGTGCTGTAAAGAGGGCATCGCAGAATTCAACGCTTGGATATGTCACTAGCGATGTACGTATCTCAAACCTACACTGTGCCAAAGCTTAATCCTTTCTTCCTTCCCAACGTTTAGTCTTGCCCCGGCGTAGGGGATGACATCCTCCACGCCCCTCTCGCATCATTTGACATCCCGGATTTCATTGGCTCAGATACACCATCTCTGACGAATGATACCCTCATTGATTTGGTCTTCGTGGACTTTATTCAAGAACAGCTGTTGGAGATCCTCAATGAGGTGCAGAATATGACAACGTATACGGATTCGAATGTAGCAAGTTACACGGATGTCCTGTCGAATGCGGTATTGGGCTTGTACGCTCAGCATGCATGGAATTAGTGATATCTCGCACTGTCCATTGCGAAATAACATATATGGATAACATGTTACTGTAAGTGAGAATGCTACTAGCAGAGGGTCCTTGACTACATCATGCAAAATGCCAAGGTAATATGGGAAAAATACAACTAAGACAAACTGTTACCATTGAGGATCTTTGGGAGGAGCCTTGTTAAGGCAGACGCTCAATTTATCACCACTAGTCCTCTTTGCCCATCTATAAATCTTTAACCCCATCTGTCCAGTATGCATCTGCGCCATGGTCTTTTGATGACCTTTCGAATCAAGATCATGACACAAATAAGCCTCGATGCTCCGTGTGCGGTCGTAAATCATGATCTGGGGCGTACCCGGCGCTAGCCCTCTTTGCATCTTGATAAGGAACAGGTTTTGTGAGTGTATGTTTGGCGGAAGAGGTGGCTCATCTTCGTTCGAGTGAATCTTCGTGTTATCCATGGTAGGCTGAGACATGTTGTTCAAAGTCGCCATACAGAGCTTGTCACCCTTTGCCGCAGCAAGTCGCATCTCAGTGGGATACATGCTGAAGGTGATCTCGACCCATTCTCCGCCCTGGACTGAGTTGCACGTAGGTTTATGTTCTTTCCAATGTACCCGTTGGCATTCTGTTGCATTCAAGGATAGGTTAATCAATTGACCCCAAAAGTTCAACGTGGCGGCTCACCAGCTCCACAATATTCCATAGCGAGACACCGAGAGCATTTGCTCACTGTCTTCCCCCCGCAGACTACACAACCGGTATGATGCGTCAACCTTGCGATATCGCGCTGATTGATTGGCCCAAGAGGTAAAAGGAATGATAACGCAAAAGTAGCTTCTGTTCCAGTTGGGTTTCGTTTGACGGAATAAGTTGAGGAAAGTCGTCGGGCGTTTGCGTTGAGGACCGCAAGAAGGAGCTTTTGTTCCTCTGGAGTAGCTGTGACCTTGAGCACGGGTGATTTCCTATCCGTTATGACCTGCTGAACCCAGTCAAAAGTTTCATAGGCAGGTGAATCTCGGGTTCCACGACAGTACAAAATAACCATGACTGGAGTCTCATCATTCAGCATATAGACTTCAACGACCTGGAAGTCATGTAAGGAAGGTGAAAACAGAACGAAACAAGAGAGGGTGCGAACACGGATGCAAATAGCGTATGCAGTTTCCTTGTCCTGTATAATGGCCGTCTTCACACCGTTGTCGAGACCGTTAGCAAGCCCCATGATGGTCTGGCGAACATCCATAAACGGATTTTCATAAAGGTCCCATGCGTTTGATCTTCCTTCCAATCTTGCTTGAAAATTGGCAAACCCTTCTTTAACATTGCCTCGACCAACAGTTTCCAACAGAGATTTCTTGCAAGTCTTTTTGGACCAAAGTGGAAGATTTGAAGGATCAAACGGTGCTTTCGCAATGAGAGTAGTGAGTGACTGAGAGGCGTCTATCGCGCAACGAAATTTCCTCTCCATCGTATCATTTGGAAGACGAGTGGCAGGGGACAAGTCAACGCCCATACTCTTCAGGAACTTCAACTTCTCCTCCTTCGGAATGTCAACTGGGATGACCTTTGAGTTTTTCACCTTCGCTTGGCGCTTGATATTCTCGATGGCAATGGCTGCCCAGTTGAAACAAGTCGGACAATTTAATGTATGATGTTCTTTGCATTCGTATTCAAGCAATTTCCGTGAATGTTGCGATGTGCGTGCCACTGCTTTGTCGAAAACATATGAGATGGGTGGTCGATCCTACGTGCATGTTCCTGCTAGTTAATTATATAGAGCACAACAGCGGATTTATTGTACCACACCATAAAATATGCTTCAGTAAGAGCTGGGAAAGCGGCATAAAGCTTGTCCATGATCTGAGAGTTGTTTGTAAAGCGATGGTCAGAAAAGCACTCATGGCAGAACTCGCAACCGTGCGCGCGACAGAAAATAAACGATCCAGCGAGCACCAGCTCATCCACAACGGGCTCGTAGAACATGATAAATGTTTGAAAGAGTTTTGAAGGAGAGGATAAATGGGAAACCAAGAGAAAATTAGGTTCACGTGTAACAATAAACTTTGGCAAAATTCCAATGCGGGGAATCGAACCCCGGGCTGCTGTGATAATTAATGAAAGACAGCAATGTTAACCACTACACCACATTGGATTGTGATTGTGCCAAAAATGAATAAATATTGTCATGGGTGATGCTACCTATATCCCCATGGCCCCAACGAGCTCGGTGCTGCAGGTGCCAGGGATGCTGCAAAAAATCTGCAAGAAATTCAAGAACATCTGGACATTTACATAAATGCAAGACTGACTCAACATGAGTTTCTATGTGAACCACCACCACAAGGGTTGTAGACAAAATATTATAGGCTTCAGAGTGCTGTCAAACAAATATGTTCATAGTTTTACAAAGAATCTGTATTTTGTAACTTTTTTGACCATAAATGTCTATGAGATATACAATTTTTTGACCCCTTCGAACTCTGTCGCCGACGTTGAACCCACAACAAGCTCATAAATTGTTAGGACGACGATTTTGACGGATTCCCGTTTAGGGGTGGGTGGTTTAAGAATAGGTAGCGTCACTTGTAACATGCTCGAAATAGGATACGCAATTATTTTCGTCAACTTACATGAACTTACATGAATGTTGTGTTCAAGCGACAAGCAATGAGAGCAAAATTCCTCTAGTATATTGGCAGGTAATGATTCAATTTCTATCCCTTAATTCCTCCATCCTTCCCATCGCCTCCATCGCCCTTCCAAGCCTCCAGCAGTCTTTCCCAGCTTCTTCTCGCTAACTTCACAGGTTCATCAGTTTGTGCTTTAGAGTAGACTCGGGAGGCGAATCTGGAAAAAAGAAGGAATGCTGTTGGTAGGTGCTTAGAAACAAAATGCACTAGATGCTCACTGCTGATATATCCCACCCTGCAAGTCATTTCTCAATAGCTCCAGTGCTCTTCCTGACGGCTTGAGGAATTTTGACATCGGTGATAGAAATTGTGATGTCAATTGTGAGTTGATGTGTGAGAGAGATGCTGGAGGTAAAGGAACAAGGAGGGTAGATGATCTACAAATACGCGACGTGGACGGCGAGAAAGAAGAGAAACAACGGTGGGAAGAGTCAAACAAGGATTTTAGTTGCTATTAGTGGATAATCATCGCAACACGTACAGATAATCTGGCGAAGGTCGCGGTGGTCTTGTGCGTCCGAACACTTTTGTCTCGCTGTTATCTTCTGGTTGATGTCCTGACTGTCCCCCATTTGCATCGTTCTCCGATTTCCCTGTCCGTTGTTTCTCTTGTTTTTCATCCGCTTCTTGAATCTCCCCTCTCCGAAGTTTCTCTGTCCACTCTTGATATTCGATCCACTCCCTTTTCATATTCTCCACCGCTTTTTGCCTCACAACCTGTCTGGGTAAATCGCGCGACATGGAAACAAGATGTTCAAAAGTTCCGTATATAGTTGTTGAAGTGAAGAGGTAATAACCGGGCGACCATGAGCGGGTTTTAATGATAGGCGTCGAGGTTGTGGGTAATGGTGGGAGTGTCGATGATGATGATGTCGTCGTCGAAGGTGATGACTCCGACTCAGTGGCCATACCGCCTCCAAGTACCTTAGAGACGTTCTCTGGTTGTCCTTCAGGAGGAAGTGGATATATGGCTTTCTTTCCGACAGCTTTCCTTCCCTTGCCATCGCCTTCTTGTACTTCGTGTCTACTTTCTGGCACCCCAATCTCATCATCATCCCTCATCACACTCACGTCGTGCCTCTTGAATCCAGCTACATTCTTTACCTCATGTTCGAAAACCTTTCGTATACATAGTGTCGTGCAAGACGGCTGAGCCGCGTGGATGCGACCGGTAATTGATTGAGTGCAGTACGTCAGACACCATTCATCTCTTTTAGGAGAAAAACGTCCTAGATAGAGAATCCAAGGAATTCGTTGAGTAAGACTAGAGCATGGTATAAAGATGTGGGATATAGCCTAGAGCATTGGAGCTCTTCAACCTGCTTACCTTGAGGAGGTAAAAAGATCTTTACTGTGGGCCATTTCGCAAAAGCCGGGCCTCGAGGTTGCGCCTGTTGTTGATTTGCTGACGATTGAGAGGAGGAAGAGGAAGAGGCCATTGTATGTGAGCGCTACGAGCTTGGGGGTTACTCGAGCGTGAAGATATTAAGTGTATTTCTATAAGATGATGATACAGTGCAGGAAAGAATGCAGTCGTGAAAGTGATTTGTGATTTGTGGAGAATGAGCGGTAATGCCGCTTACCAAGCTCCAGTCCCAATATAGCCCTAACCCTAATAAACTTTCGACATATAAGCTGCCGCTGGCAAAAAAAAATTTCTTATACATCCTCGTTGTTCGAAGAATCGTTGTCGCAGCTAACCATACAGAGAGCTCACCTTGTGTGGTGCTCTCATTCATTCCGCTGTGGGGAAAGTCCCCGGAGATACAGAGCTTCCTTTTTGGATTCCTCGTTCCGACTAATGGAAAGCAACCGACCGTTAAGCAAGGCGGTACAGGTCTGAGGAATGGCTGGAACTTCCTTGCTTTCCCACTTGCTCGAGTTACTCAAGCTAGTGGACTTGCTCCTCCAAGCCAGCACTGTCCCGCCTGTACTTTTCATCCTCTGCAAGAAGGCTGTCGCGAAGATATGAGCGGCGTGCTTGCTATGTCCTTCGAGGTCGATGAGGTTGAAGTGAGGGCGGATGTTGCTCATAGTGACAGTTATACGATTGTTGATTCATTTCTGGATCTTCAACTCAATGGGGCTCGCTCTCTTTCGACGAGGAAATTCACCCGCATTTTTTGGATTTTATAACTGGGCGTTCGTCGTTCAATTCTAATCATTGTTTCAAAAGCTTGGGAAGAAAATAATCCTGGTTATTGTGGTACGTATCTCACCCTTACATTGTCCGATCCTTGTCTTCTCGTTCCCATGCTTCTAAGCTTCGCAACTCGGATGATGCTTCAATCTGCAAACGCAATTGAATTTCTTCATGGTGTAATACCACGCCGTCTTTAGATGGGCGTTGGGTGTGCTCCAAACTTGACAACCCTGATTTTTCCTCCCTCTACTTTATCCATTTTCGCTGCCTGCAGTTTACTCTCGACGTGAAACTCACGATTTTTATAGGTTCTTGAGGTATAGTTTCTTCACCAATATACATACATACAATCGGTGTACAACATGCATAATCAATCTCATCCAAATGTTGCGTGTTGCCTCACCTTTGCCATGTTCCATCCCGCTTTTCTGTTGCTCCTTCATTTCTTTCTTGTTCTGGCGACTGTGCCCTTAGCTTCCCTCACCCTCGGCTCTGTCGAAGCCTCGCAGATTGATATTGCCTTCACAATTTAGCGAGGTCAATGTGTAGCCTATATCGACCATTCAATCATGTGGACGTCCTCTGACCTTCTGTTTTGTACTTGTCGCTTGTTCATTGACAGAGTATTCCAGTCATCGTACTGCATAGGGGATACATTTAATCTGTAGACTTGCAGCAGAGAAGTAGTACCATCCTCGCGTGACTGTTATGTATGTATAATGATTGATTTGATATCTCCGCGGCTTATTGGACCATATTAGTGTCTTTCAGAGCCTTTCAAAGTAAACCAACTTTCCTGTTTTACCCATGCCCGCAGAGTACGTGCCCATCAGACGTCATTTTCCCCCAAGCAACATGATTTGGAACTCCAGAGAATTTAAGATTGGCTGGCCAAACTTACCTTCGCTGGTATGTATCGAATACTGACTATCCTGATTTGGTTTATGTTTATGAGCAGTAGACTGCTGTTCTGCTCTCGGCGGGGTTCTCTTCTTCAACTCCAATGTTCATCCTACGTTCATAGCATCCGCACATGACACTTGACCTGATACCGCTCGGTAGCATTTGTCCGTTCCCTCTTTATTTTCGCCTGCGATTCATCTACGAGGTTGCCTCAAACCTCAGTGAGGGACCAACGCGCACTCGGAGGTAGATCAAGTCCTTCAAGTTATGTTCTCTCAATTCCGAGGTCTGCAACATATCCCTGCGATGCTTGCGTTCTCACCTTCACATGTATTGTTCGAATTCCTTATACTTTGTACTCCACGGGAGATTCAACGAAAGGTCAGAATAAGATGCGACTTTCTGAAAGGCCTGTTCTCCCGCTGAAGTGCTCCCGGACCCCCTTAGGACGACATTACATTAGTTGAGAGGATTTTCTGGATACTGTCCTTGTCGTATACTAATGCAACGCTTTAGATTCAAGTTCGCGAGTACCCTTGAAATACAACTTCCAGAATGCGGATTGGACACATCCAAATGCACTCTGCTTTGGGACAACATATTGCTTGATAGTTGAAAAGAATCGAGATATGCCGGACACTTCAACACCTAGCACCAGAAAATATGCTGTGTTGTATCCTGATTTTGGTAGGCGAACCACGGACAGCTTTACCACTACCCTAAATAATTGCGCGACTGCAGGCAACCTCATCAGTGTTGTAGATCCATGGTAGACTCATTCATCTACAGGATAAAAATATCATGAAGGAGCTACCAAAAAGATTGATGGAAGATATAATCTCGAGGCAGGAGGTAATGTAGTCAGTGTCCAGAAGGGCGAAGGCGCAGCAACCTAATTGGCGAGTAATATAGTGATGGCAAAAGAGGGCGAAGAGGTCATAAAGCTAAAGATATTTGTCGATGCACGCTTCGAAATTCGAAAAATCGTTTTTGACAACCAATGTACATAACAAGTTGAGCAGAAGATACATCGCTCTCGTCAAATGCAGAAGAAACTTTAGAACTTCAGAACGCGCCAACCCACCTCCCCAAGTCGTCCCACACTCCGAAAACTTGAGCTGCAATAACGATGATCAGGAACGCTAACGGCATCATATAATCCGACCTATTCAGAATAAAAGAAGTTAGTAAGTAGTGGAGGGTACTTGGAGAAGGAAGTGAGCTTACAAGTCCTTCAACTTATCCACCGCTGTCACTGTATCGTCATGTCCTATATTTGGGTCATTGGGGCCTAACCCTATCAACCCTAATCGCGCAACGTTTCCTCCCGTCAACCTCTTTGTACCCAATCGTACTGTCTGCATGTAAGGAGCAGCAAAGTTGTTCTTGCAAATGGGTTTGTGTTCTTTCCAGTCT